AGACTTCCCTTCTTCCCATCCTGCACCAGAAGGAAAAAAATAACAAAAAAACAACCACAAGATAGGAAGACTTTTCTCCTGAAACAGGTAGTTCTTCTGTGGTGTTCATCAGTAAATACAGCCAATTTGCAAAACGCCTACAGCTGCTCCTTTTGGTTGACCTAGTTCCCTATCTGACTCTAAGCAGGTAGCATTTAGCACAGTGTGTGGCAAACTTCAGCTCAGTTGCCAGCACTGCTCTGCCATACTGCAGGCCAGGAATACTGCATGCCCTACTCCAGTGAGAGGGGAAATGCCCCATATCTTTCATCAGCAGTCCCCTCAAGATTAATTAAGGAAGGGAGCCAACAGTTGCTAGAGAGAATACCATCAATCTCTTGGCCAGGAAAGCAGGCCTCTAGGGAAGGGACTGGACTACACAGCAAGGAAGAACAGGGTGGTGGAATCTTACAGGATCTGAGTGAAACCCAGATGACTCATCAGAAAATAAAGTGTTCCTATTTTGGCAAAAGGCTGAAGTAGCAGCCTTGGGTTGTTCTGCAGCACAGCACTAAATGACCCGGAGAGCTTGGGACAAATTCCTGTGCACAGTGACGTTCCTAACAGTAGGGACCATTTCATGTCTCATTAAGCAAACAGGCTAGCATGATAATTAACATATTAATTAGCAACACCTTTTCTTGCAAGTGGAACTTCTGCTTGAAATGTCAACTCTTTCAGACAACTATTTTGTAAATGAAGATGAAGAAGTAATTTCTTATCCCTCAAGGTAACAAGAAGTTTCACGCAGAACTGACAAAGGTGCATCTTTTACTTTTTTTACATCATGGAAGACACTGCATTCAGACCATGGTCTGTCCCATGACTTCCATACACCAAGGCTCCTTGCACATCCTGCCTGCCATTCAAGGCCTGGTCCTTAGTGTGGGTATGGCACCCCTTCTACCACTTCATAAGCTGATCTGAAAAAGACCTCACACATACCATAAAGTCACAAAAAAGCAATATCATCTCCCATTTTTCAATCCTAGCCACCAATCCATGTGGCTCCCCACTATAAGAATTCCTTTGGTCACAACTGTTATGAAACAACCCAAGAGAAAACTCTTCAGCAACCACCACCAGGCAATTTTGTTAATTATGCTGAAAATAGGTATCACCTGTAAGAGAATGTTTGTTGTCCCACAGCTTGTCATTTTAGATCAGGAACTAATCAATCCCATCACAGACTACTTTAAAGAGGGGTTGGTACACAAGTATGGATTTCCTCAAACTGCAGTTATCCTTCTCTCTGGGGTTTTTGCTCAAGACCACTGCTAATTTCTATTATCTTTCCAGAGAACATATATGTAGGTTCACAAGAAAATCTAGAGCACTGGAAATGGAATAAGAAAAGAAAAAAATGGAGACTGGAGTTTGAACTTGTAGGTTTCAAAACAGAGGGGATTATGATATTCATTGAGTCCCTCCCCTGTCAGATGGATGTTGCCAACCCACAGAAAATAGTGACAAGTTCTATATATGTTATCTTTCCCTTGCCTCAGGCACATGCTCTAAGGAAGCTACATTCTAAACAATGAATAAACAAACAATCAACATGTTAATCTTTTACACATTTTGACACACAAAACACAGACAAATCATTGTGTCATTTCCTTACCTATCCCGACACTTACAAAATAAATTCTGGTTCAGGAAGAACAGAAGATAGTATTTCCCTTAATTAGCTTTTTGAAGCTCATAGTATGTTTTTAAAATATGATTTACCTCTTTTATTTATCATCCTGCCTTATTTCAGATGGGTACTGTCTGACTGACCTCTACATACCCTTGCACTTGCTCTGTGATATCCCCAGAATGTCAATGCTCCAATTCTTCATCTTTCATTTCTCACATGTTTCTTATTGGTCACTTCTGGTACCAGTGGCAGCCGAAGTGGAAGTTTATCCTCTGATAATCTGTGCTGCTTTAATGGCTCCTAGCATCCTGAGGATAATTTCCAAGTGTTATGGTGACACCAGCTGAGATCTTGGCAACAGAAAAGTATTTCATATGCTTAATTCTTAACTTAGTTGCTTGTTTTTTTTTCCTGCCTCCCAGACCTTCCATTAGCCTGCTTATTTCTGTGGATTAACTCTTTTTGTTACTGCTATAGTCTTTGCTATCACTTCTCAGTATCCTTCTGACAATATAGCCTTTGGAAAATCTGAGAGCATTCTCACCATGCATTCAAAATCTCTTAATAAATTTATCTAAATCTCCAAGTCACATTTTTCCAAAAGCTTATTAAAAATCCCCTCTAAAAGGAACAAAAATAGTCTCGTATTATCCTTTATGTATTTCCCTACGAGCTAGAATCTAGGAAGTATAGTCCACAAACACTGTAAAATGATAACCGTGTTTCAAACAGTGCTAATAAAAAATGTTACACACAGAACAAGCCACCGGTTTAAGCAAAATAACATATGCTCAAAAGTGCTTATCCCCGAAGCATCACTATCTGCTTTTTTCCAAGATAAAACGAGTCTTATACCAGCGTGCCATAAAAAGCAAAATTCTCTCATAATGTCAATTACTCCGTTTGCTCATGACTTTACACGGCTGACTGAACACCTATGGTCTCACTCAAAGAGAAGCTGTTAGTTTGCTCACCTCGGTCACCTGCAGGATCTTTGAAATGCCTCCTCTTCTGCTCCTGCCAAAGAGTGCCTTCCTGCATTTCCCATTCCGAGCTCCGCTGACCGTGCAGTCATCAGTAAGTTCTGGCCAAGTTATCCTATGTAACTCTGAGGAGAAAAAGGAGAGACTCGGAGATGCTGCCGCAGCAATTCCTTCCTCCCTTAAAAATGTTTTCCCGATGCTTTGTCACAGTCAGGTCTCCAGTAGTAAACTGAACAACCTATCCTCCCGGCTCTTCTTCTTTTTCTTTCTTTCTTTTTTTTTCCTTTTTTTTTTTTTTTTGGTAAACACATAATCACTGTTTCAAATCCTTTAGGTACCACGAACCGTATTTCTCTATTGCCCTCTACTGACTACCAGCTACCACCACCTTCCGGGACGAGCGGCGAGCAACAAATAGACGGCATGCTTTTCTCACTGCCTCCCTCCGATCAATAATGATGCACGACATCCCAAAGTCAACACAAATCATTCTGTTTTTTTCTCTGTTACAGAACACCGGGCAAGATTTACAGCTTGACAGTCTGCCGTGCTAACTACAGAACACCAAACAACAGCAGGAAGTAGTTAACTGCATAGGTCTGCTAATGTGCTTTTGGTGATGACAAGCCAGGATAAAGTAGAGATGAATTGAGCCTGCCTTGAGATGTGGGTGAATTCTCCCCTCTGATTCCACTAATACTTCAGAAGGGAGCTGAGGAAATTAAAGATGTGGCCCTGGCAGCACTCGGTGCACAGAAATACTGACTTCTGGAGGGAGTTGTGCAGGATCAGACCCAGAGAGAGCCCCTGAGCTGTCCATTGCTATTGCCCCCTGGTTCCAGCGTTATTGATGTAGCACATTCAGCATTACACCTAATGCGAGGAACGTGGTTTCCATCTCATGAGGCATGCATTAGGACAAGCAACACAAGAATGGGGATGGCACTGGGAAATGCTGTTTGCACTGCTTTTACAACAAAGATCATCTATAACACAGAGAGAACTAGAGGGAGAAAGGGAATGGCTGAGCCCAGTTGGAGGAGCAGAAAAATAAAATTTATTTGTGTTTCAGAGAGACTGGAAGAGACAGAGGGGAAGCAAAAGGAAGGATAAGAAGAGGGCAAGAGCAGGTACAGAAAAAGATATACAAATGAACCCTTTGTGTTGTATCAGTCTGTGCTTAACTATTGTGGCACAGTGCTTGTTAGCCAAGGCAGGCAGCACCTGAACCAAGTGATGCTATTATTTTTGATTTTCCAAAAAGACTTTTTTTTTTTTTTTTTTTTTTCCAATTTCCCCCCCATTTCTATTAATTTGGTGTATTTTATTTGCCCAAGATCTGTTGGCTGATGAAGGTTTGGTTTTACACAGGTGTTATGAGGCATTCCCGCTCTGTGACTCAGGAAAGTCAGGACACTGAAACTGTCATCAACTCTGTGACAAAAAACACATAAGCATAGAACAGCTTGGATTGGAAAGGACCTCAAGGATCATCAGGTTTCAACTCCCCTGGGCCACCAACCTCTAGATCTGGTACCAGACCAGGCTGCCCATGGCCCCATCCAATCTGGCCTTGAACACCTCTAGGAATGGAGCATCCACAGCCTCTCTGGGCAGCCTGTTCTAGCACCTCACCACTCTCTCTGTAAAGAACTTCCCCCTGACATCCAGTCTAAACCTTCCCTCCTCGAGCTTAAAACCATTCCCCCTTGTCCTATCACTATCTACCCAAGAAACAAGTCAATTCTCCTCCTGTTTATAATCCTCTTTTAAATACTGGAAGGCTGCAATGAGGTTTCCTCACAGCCTTCTCTTCTCCAGGTTGAACAAGTAGTGGAAGTAATGTGAAAAAGTCCATCCCAAATTTTATATTAAATCAAAAATAAAGCCAGCAGGGGCTCTAATTGTCATCATTATGAACATTTCATCACCAACTCCAGAGTTATTGACTGTACTGTAAAGCTCTCCTCTGAAAGAAAGCACAGAGAATTCTTTTTTCTCCCCTTTTCTGAAGCCCTCAGCTACTCCGTGTTGGAAAATAAGAAATAATTATTTTTATTCACATTCCTCGGTAGTATACTGAAGAAGCCTGCTCAGATGAATGCCTAAGTGAGCACCATTACCAACAGATCAAAGAAAAAGCTTGTCTGGCAAATGAACGGGGCCGAGGGAATTAATAAAGCACACATCAAACACGGAAAAGCCAAAGCGTTTTAATGCTTTTTAATGCGTTTTAAACCCCGGCTTAGGCCGTGCAGCCCGCCGCTTCTGCCCCGGAACCAGGAAGCTGCAGCCGCGGTATCCGCCAGGCTCACCGGAGCGCTGCACAGCGCGCCGCCGGAGCTGCCGGGCATCGGCTTCCGGCGGGGCGGGCGGCGTGATGCCGCGCTTCTTGGAGGCGGCCGCGAGGCAGCTGGCGGGCACCTGCCCGGGCCAGGCGCGGTTCCTGCTGTGAGCGGCCGGGGCGGGCTGGGGTTCGCGACGGGAAGTGGGGCGGGCGGAGCCGGCCTGACAGTGTGTGTTTTCCCCACAGGTGGACGCTGAGCAGCTGCCGAGGCGAGTGTGGGGCTCGGGCCAGACGGCGGTGTGCGGACGGCGCAAGCGTAGCTTTGAGGATGGGGACTGACTTCCCCCTTTTCCCCGTATTCCCATCGCTTCTGCTCTGCCCTCACAGCACATTCAGGGCCTGCGTTAGGAATGATGCGCTTGCTATGCAGAGAATTCCAGGTGTTTTGTTGCTTGAGTGCAGCTCTGGCAGCAGGAAATGCTGAGGCAGGTGCAGCAACACACTCCTCAGATTTAACAGTCTGGATTATTATTATTATTAGTGTGTTTTCAACCCAATCTGAGGTACTATCACTTTCTTGCACTTGGGGCTGTAGGAAAACAGGGGACAGACTCTTTAGCACGGTCTGTTGCCATAGGAAAAGGGAAAAGGGTTTCAAACTAAAAGAAGGGAGGTTTAGAGAATATAATGAAATTTTATTTCTTTACAATAAAGATAGCAAAGTGCTGGCACAGGTTGCCCGGAGAGGTGGTGGATGCCCATGCCTGGAGACACTCAAGGTCAGGATGGATGGGGCTCTGAGCATCCTGATCTGCTGGAGATGTCCCTGTTCTTTGCGGGAGAGTTGGACCAGATGGCCTTTAAAGTTATCTTCCAAGTCAGATGATTCTGTGAAAGAGGCAGAATGCTTCACAAGGCTTGGTGTCACTGATCAGACAAAAAAAAAGTGCCCTCGGGAGCTCCATGCGGAGTTACGAGTTTCTGTCACTGAAGACTTTTAGAAGAGGATTGCATTTTTCCAGTATAATGTACTGTTATTTCTTGTGTGAACTTCTGCAGTGCACAGACTTAACATGAATTCATACAATCACAGAATGGTTTGGGTTGGAAGGAACCTTTAAGATCATCTAATTCCAACCCCCTGCAGAGCGGCACCTCCGTCTAGACCAAATTGCTCAAAGCCCCATCCAGCCTGGCCTTCAATGCTTCCAGGGAGGGGGCATCCACAACCTCACTGGGCAACCTGTTCCAGTGCCTCACCACCCTCACAGTAAAGAATTTCTTGCTGACATCTAGTCTAATCTACCCTCTGCCAGTTTAAAACCATTTCACATCATTGTCTCGCTACATGCCCTCATAAAAAGGTCTTTACCAGGCTGAAAAGTCCCAGCTCTCTCAGCCTGTCTTCACAGGGGAGGCTGTGGTTTAGAACTTTGTTAAAACTTACTCATGCTCAGCACGTCCTCACGTTCCAGATGAAAAATACAGTAAAAACACAACTACTTAGGAACTGTTAAAATGAAAGTGTACCCTTTTTAATGTTTGTCTACAGAACATAATTACTTGAGTTTTACTCTTTTAACTTTGCTTATCTGTAGATGAACAATTTGGAAAAGAGAGAATATGTCCTTACTGCTTCCAGTTCCTGGTTCCTGACAGCTACCGGGTGCGGCTCAAGCCAAAGATGAAAGTGACCCCTCAGATAGAGAAAATTCTTAAACGAGAGGCAAAGAACTACAAACTCAATATGAAACAGCTAAAGCTTTTGAAAAAGTACAGGGACTCCAAAAGTGTTCTGGTAAGGGTATTTAAACTGCCACGTATTAGAGATTTCCTTGAAACCTTTTAGTTGCATAAAAAAGAAGATATGAAAATTTTTCTCTTAGAAGTGGAACTCACATGTATTTCTTTTTTCACAAGCACGTAATTTTTCTTTTCCTTTTGGAATAACTTCTGTTCATGTTTACAATCAAAATGTTTGAAATCTACCCTCCACAGTAGATCAAGGGGACAATGATAAAAGTAGAAATCTTTTATTTTCTTCTCTCTCCCATCTTCCTCCCTTTTCATCAGAGAATCTACGCAAACGTATTTCTTGTGATCTTTGTGCAGATGTCTTGAAATCTTGCTGAAAATTCAATGATTTCTTCCTTGGAAGCTCCAGCGTTTTAACTATCAGCTACTGTATCATTTGCATAACTTTGCAGAAGTGGCAGATTCTGTTGATTTTGTATTTATTTTTCCTATTTATATAGTAAAATTGGGGCCGTGCAACTCCAATAGATGTAGAGTCTCAATAAAGCAGTGCAGATGCTGAATTATTAGAATTCTTAGAAATCTGTTCCTAAGAATCCCCCCAAAATGTACCTGAGAAGAACATGCCATTGACTGAAGCAAGGCTGGTTTTGCCAGAGTGATGTACTTTGACGTTTATTGCCTTTGTTTCAGCTCTGAAGAAGGGCTTAAGTGACAGATTGTCAGTTTTTTTCAGTTTTATCACTCATGCTCAGTGTACAAGCTTGGCATCATTTATCTTATTTATGTAGCAATCATGCCTACAAAAGATCATTGTTACATTTTAAACACAAAGAATTTTTTAAGTTTGGCTGGATATTAAAATGTATAGGTCTTTCAAAACTAAACCACATATAGAATTTAAAGTAGTTAATGTTGCTTGTGGAGGTTCAGTTCTTTTTCCTAAAATTACTGAAGATTATAAGCTGTAAATGCTTTGAAGAATGGTAACATGCATTTAATGTTGTTTAAATAATTTGTGAATGGATGTCTTACTAAACAAGGCAGCACCCTGCTGTGGCATATTTGGCATTTTCTTTGAAGAGAGCCTGTGGGTTTAGGGAGTAAAATTTGCTAGATCAAAAGTTACTAAAGAGTCATTAACACAAACTGAGGAAATACCATAGATGTCACCAGGTCTTGTGGCTAAAAGGGCACTTCAGATAGGCACCCTTAGTGCTACTCTTTCCAAATTTTACATCATGGTTGACCAGCAAAAAGAGCGAGATAAAGGTTATCGAGGAACTGAAAGCTTTGCTTTATTTCTTCGCTACAAGATCACAAATGTTTAGTGTGCATTCAGATCTCTCTCTTTAGACAGTTGATGAACAGCATCCTAAGGAATTATTGTGGGCTCTTAAATTTATTCTGTAACTGGAGAGATTCTTAGGATGCGTTATGCATTCATATGAGTAGTTTAAGATTCAGTTTTAAATAGGGACAGTTTAAACACCGGGTAATATTCTAATCTTGGGAGTTAATTACAATTTACTGCACTTGTGTTCTGCTCAGTTCTGTTTGCATTTGTGCTGTGAATTATGATTTAAATTTTTCTGGTATTAAGTATTTAAAATACTGTCAGATACTGACAGCTTTCAAAATTAGCAATGTAGATCCCTGTAATCTTATACCTGAGCCTTGTGAAAATGAGAATTCAAGTATGACTGAGAATTAATCCAAGCAACAGTATCACAGGTTGTGCTTATGATACCTTTCTGGAGTTAACTGTATGTGCTGTTTAGGAAGTGCAAAGCAGCTGTGCTCTGCTATGGTATCCTGCTGATTCCTGCACTGTTAGGCACTCACCTCCATTTATATTCCATAGAGTATTAAATGAACATGAGATGCTGTGTTGGTTTTTTTCTTCCCTGAATTTCAGGAGAGCTAAAAATACATCAGACCTGAGGTGTATTAGTTGATTAACTCTCTTTTTTTAGTTTGTTAGTCTGACAGTATAGACATCCTCAAAACACTTACCTGAAAACTGCACTTGGGCATTTTTACATTGAATTCTTCGTAAGCATTCAGAAACATCTAGTGTTTTTCAGTCAGTGTAACTCTGTGCCTCAAAAACTTGCCTGAATGTATTACTCCCATGTTCCTTAATAAGAGGGGTTGCCATGGTAGTAGGCAATATTAGGAATGTCTGGCAGTCTGAGACTCTCTGATGTTATCTGTTCTGCTGCACCTCTGCTACACGCTGTGCTGCTGGAGGGTCCTTATAGTAAACATGCAAAATGGATAAAGCTTCCTATTTGTTGTAATAAGTATTTTTGCATTATTAGAAAGCCTCCTCCTGCTGTTACTAGTTATAGATGTCTATTTTTGAGAGTTCAGTAAGTTAAATATTTTATCTCGAGATTTTGGAGAGTGTGTAATAGAACTTCAGTAGAGGCAGAACACACCAATAAGTTTTGATCAATTTATATATCATTTTTCAGCAAAATGTGAATACCACTAATATATATTTAAGATAGCACCTGAACTGGATGTATTGTGCTTTGTGTTGTTTTGTTTTTTGTTCTGCACTACGTTACGTTCAGAGTTAAGGGTCTCCTGAGGAATTAGAGTAATCTCTAGATAAATCTATGGGATGTGTTTGGCTTGAGAAGTCTGAATGAAAACATTAAGTATAAATAGTGTCTTTTAAATATCTCTGTATTCACTTTAGCAAATATGTTCTGATAATTGGAGAACAGTTTGAATAATTCTTACAATGGCTTTGAAAAATAAAAGGGAAAAGACTGGTAGAGTGATTGATACTTTATTTTTTTCCATAGCTTGTTACTTGTAACTCATGCAACAAAACAACAAGACATTATGGTAAAAGCAGGGATTTTCTGGCTACCAAGATCCACAACTCAGGCTCTCCAACTATTGAATCCAGCCTGAAGACACCAGATGTAAAAATCCAATCTGCAAACAAAAGGACACCTGCAAGCTGCAGTAGGTTGGGATCCAAAGGGAACACTCCTTCATCACTCTCCAGGTAACTGTTTCTCTCTATTCTAACTGGTTCCTGACTGAGTAGAATGTTATACATCTTGTTGGGAAAGGAAGTAATGTACTGATTGTATGCCTGTCACTTAAACTTTTAATTGATAACTAGATGTCTGTTAAGGAAATCCATTTTGACTTCACAGTTCTTAAGGATTCTGATAAAAAGTGACCACAAGAATGCTCAACTGTGTTTTTGTCATTAATGTAAAAGGTCCAGCTTAAAATTTGCATAAGAAAATTATACTTCCAACTGCTCGCCTTCATATGAAAATACACTATTTACATTCAAAAAATTAACTTAATACTACATTTATCCACTTTCATAGCTACTCAATATTAATTACAATTTCTCACCTTGTAAGATATTTGTGTCTTAATTTTTTCAGAACTTGTATATCCGGACAGGCGACAACCAGTTCCATTTCCAGGACTCCCCGAAACTCCAAATTTCACTTTACTAAGCTAAAACGGATGCTTAACCTAGAAGAAAAAGAGAAAATCCAGAAGGTGGATTTGAAAGCCTTCCTGACTTTACTTTAGTTTCAGAGTAATAATAATTACAGCAGTAAATACTATTCCGATTTTAATAAATGACTGGTGATTTTCTTATGAATGTTCTCTGTGATTTGGACTTCCAGGTGGGGAACACAGAGCCTGCTAAGGCTGCACTGTGCTGCAGGTTATTCTCCTTACCTACTCACAGCTCCACACTAAACTGTTACTGCTATGAGAGTAGCATGGTCATGAAAAATGCAGGACGTTTCCTTTCTGACTGCTCTGATGCTACCAAAATGGGTTGTTTTTGTCTCTTCTAAAAACAGCTAAGGAGAGACTGTCTTATATCTTTCAGTGTTGCCAGGCAGTAGGCTTCACAGTCACTGCTTTCTGAACTTTTGTCTGAAAAAGTAGGTTTGCCTTGCACAGCAGTCAGCGCCTTGTACTAAAACATTATGATGTGAGTAGAAGATTGTCAAGGTTAAAGCAGCCTCCACTGTCTAATTCTGTGTGTTCGGTTCTGCACAGAGAGGAGAAAGGACAATAAAAAGTCACTATTCAGGAGTGATTTTACAGCCTTATGGTTGTGCTTATGGTTTCCCCTCTGAAAAAAAGACTCAATTAGTTAAAAACACTTCGGTTCTTCGTTTTAAAGTTCTGTGGATTTTTTTTCTTAATTATTATTTTCAATTATTTCCTTTAAGTATTTAGGATTCAGGGAACGCTATTTGAGAAATATAACGAGCAAGTATATTGGCAGACTTAAAAGCAATTCTTGGCAGGGGAGAATAGCATGTTGCAAATTTTACTGACAGTCTCAAAGATCAGTATGTGACCTTTCTGAATTTCCTATGCTGTTATACAGTAGTTCTGAAAGGTTCACATCAGTGGGTTTCTTACTTAATTGTAGGATCAAAGTAACTCAATTCCTAGATCAAAACACAGACAAGTTAGCATCTTTTGCAGCTAAGAGCTTCACATTAATCCATCCATTGTTACTATGTTTATAATCCAATCCTGTATAAAAATATCTCCATCTTGTTGATGGAGAATTTGTATTTCCAAAGAAAAAAAAGTGTTTGTAAAATAGATCTCGTAAATAAATTTTTGTTTTTTATTGTGCACATGACTTAAACTACTGTTCTGCTTTCTGTAAGGCTTAAGCAAAGATGTGTGGGTATCCGTCTATCTGCTCTACTATAGGATGCTGTTTCAGGTCAAATCAGGAGTACATCTTTGAAGTGTATCTGCTAACTGTCCCTTCTTACCGTGCCTTTTATGCAACACTGAATGGTCTTAGAGTGCATAAACCACTTTTTTTTTTTCTAGCCAATACAATAGATTTTGGATAAAAGCAAGGAAGACCCACTCTGATGTCACAGCTAACATGGTCCTACTAGTAATGGTGATCTGTCCACAGCACCATTTGAATTAATCTTTAGTACACATCCCCAAGAAGGGATAAGGTGGATGTCAGGCACCAAGCTTCAGGTATTATTCACAGCAGGTGTATTTCTGTATGCTCTATTCTGCTTATGAAGAAGCAAAATTGCTTCTGATAATTCTTAGGGATCTAGGTATCTTAGGGATACCAGGCAAAGTATTTGTGGGTAGGCCAACAGACGCATACACAAAGAAGAATGGAACTCACCCAACACTGAAGTGGCTGTTCTGCTCAGGAAGCAGTCCAGATCCTAGAGTAGCTCTCCCCTCCGTGGCTGATTCTTATGTGAGCCCAGGGTGGCTCCACCCCTTCTGCTCACATGGGGAACACAGGTGCAAACAAGTCGGCTTTTCCCCCCCAGGCCAGCCACACTCCTTCACCAGGTGCTGTCACCAGTTCAAGGCACAACTGTTAGTTCCCCTACATGCTCTGAGTCATATCTATGTGACAATCACAGTAGTCATAAAAGTTCAAATGCATTCTTATAAGGAGTCAGTATTACAAGATAACAAGCTTACTTTTTTCTTACTTCATTTTTTTTTTTTTCCCATGGTAAAGTACATGCCATTCCTTATTTTACAAATACATTTCAAAATACTGGACAGAAACTGTTTTGATGTTCTCTATCATCTGAAGTGCTTTTTGTGTTATTTTAAGTGTCTAATGAATTTTTTTTTTCTGTTCCTGGGCTACCACAGAATCCACATATTGGAAAACATACCTACATATGTGGTGTACATAAGCATACTATTACCCATATAACACATTCATTGTGTATATATATACATATGTACAGACATCCATCTCGTGTTCACATCAGAGTATATTACATTTCTGCACTTGAAACACTGAAGGTTAATTGTTGGCTGCAACAGACTATTACTGAGCCTCCATTAAATGCCTGCTATGCAGCGTTAATCATTTATGTATGCACAGCTGGAAGAACATCTCTACAGAGAGGAAACGACACTGATTTCAGTGAGACCACCATTTTACCAAGACTTTGTAAAGCAAAACCAAGAAGGTTCAGAATTTGGCATACACCTTTGGGTATACAGTTATCTTTGATACTAGAAGCATGATAATACCACATAGTGAAAATGTTACAAAATGTGGCTTGATATAAACACCTCAACTGAAGCTTATTTATTTTGGAACATCATTTTGAGTCATTTTCCCATTTTTATATATTGGGAATCTCAAACTGTCATAGCACAAATAGAACCTCACACCCAGTCCCCACTTCAAAGAGACAAAGTTTGACCAAGCTAGATGGTCTATCAGCAGTATTTCTTTTTAAAATAATTGCAGTTTTAGAAATAGGATCCCAGACTTCTTAATATATTACTTCTTCTCATTGAAAATTTTCAGCTTATTGTACAAAATAAAAATACTGAGAGTAATGACCTTCAAAGTTAATATTAATTATTTCCTCAGCATCACTATGGTTTCCTCTTAAGTATAGGCAGCAGAATTGCCACTACATAAAATGAGTTTGAATAGGCAAGAAAATAAACAGTGATTTCAAAGATATTTTACAACAATGTTTTATTGTATTAAATATGAAAGCATAGATACAGGTGTTATTTTAAGGACATAAATTACACAAGGATTACACAATCTGTCAGAAGAACACAATAATGAAACATCTTTACATATCAAACTTTTCTGGTTAGGTTTTAACAAACGTGTCTATTTCTGTTGCAAACAAGTAACAAGAGTGCTATTGAACTTCTGCAAATTCCCACAAAATCATGCTTAGTAGGATACTTTAAATGTTGTAAAGATGAAATCAGAATTAGATTTCTAAATAACATGATGGAAGAGATCTACTTAAGATGAACGACACACTGAAATAGGAGTTGAGACAAAACTGGTCATTTATGAAAAAAATATATATATTCCATTTTATTTAGACATTACATTTGAATCTTCTTTCTTTGCTTGCAGGAATAGTCACTGTTATTATATGCATGAGCAATGAGCAGAACTGGCCCTAAATATTTATAAACGTAGCAGCCAAATTTTAGATGTGCCGGTTTCCTATTTCACCAATCTTTCCAAAGAAGAAAAAACATGAATCTATTTGCTCACATTTCAGAAGGTTGAAAGAGAGCTCCTCTGCAGAGGGCAGATCAAGCCTACGTGTGATCTCTGTGTTCATCTGTGCAGAGGACTACTGCATCCTAGACAGTGATTGGGGCAATCACTAAATGACCAGGCTGAGCTGCCACTGGCAAGGGAGAGAATATTTGTTTCTAAAATCCTAAAATATTATCTTTTAAAACTTCAGAAAAACAGGAATGTATATTTAATATAATGAAATATCTCTGTTTGACATTCAGAAGACTACTCACATAAAATACACAATAAGCATGAAATTTGGCTTGTGTTCATAGGGATTAGCCAAGGTGCTTCAATGTATTACCACAAACATTAACTGAGTGAGAGGGACAAGCTAATGTTACCTCAGTATATACTTTAATTTTCAAAAGGAGCAATGAAACACAGTTTCTAAGAACCATAATTGTTATAATTAAGGGTTTCACATTTACTTCTAAGAGAAGTGGGGTAATGTTCTTGGTAGTCAAAACATTTTGCAAAAATACAGCTTGAACCTGCAAACACTAGAATACGCAAGCAGTCCCAGTGACCTCCAAGGTGAGCATTCTCACACGGCAAAGAGCTGCAGGATTGTCTTTGCTTTTTTTTCAAAGAATGCTCAATGAAAGTGCAATATAGTGAAGCAAATAATCTGATTATTAGGATTTATTATTAAATGAAACATGTTCAGACATTTCATATTTGTGCCTTTTGTAGGGTGGGCATTCTGGTGTGGGCAGAGTCATACCACATTAGAAGAGATGAGCATGTTTCACAGTGTGGTAACACTCCCAGAGTAGTTCCATTGTATAATCCATCAACAGGTAAAAAACACTGTGCTGCTCAGTTTCACACTATGATTTCCATTTTTGACAAGCACTGACATTTATTTTGCTTCTCATTCCTACTCAGGCATTTTCTTCCCCTTTTAGCTTCTAGGCACTCACTTTCCCCACCCAGCCTCTTTTCTTCCTGAGATGTCAGAAGTATACACAATAAGCTTTGGAACCTGAGAATTTGGAGGTATCCTTTGATACTACAGGGCTGCATTTGTATCATAACATGTTATTTCCTACTATACTATTGCAGTTACAGTATAAATCTTCTAACTAGTTGATACACAATGCCTTTCCCGTAGAAATAATAATAATAAAAAAACCAACAACATACCATTCAGCCACTAACATAAGACACCTGCTGTAAGAGTGACATTTACCTTTGGTAAGTCCTCTTTTCCAAACAAATTTTGAGGGATAATTTCCAAAAGAACAACTATGAAATACTCCTTGAAGTAAACAATTAATGCAGTAAAATAAAGAAAAAATATGTACATAAAATAACACTCTTTCAAAATTAAAACTTATATACAATGAGAAAAAAAGTAGAGATTTTTCCTAATTCTTTTGTCAGTTCTGCATTATCTTTAGATAAGCAACATTATTACAAAGATAACACTACAAACAGGAAAACAAACCTAGTGAAGTAAGTGTTGTAGCTTTTTAAATTCTCTTGAGAAGTCAAGGAAATTCAGCATTCTATTTCATTATATTTTAATTAAGGTAGTAGGAGTCCTGGTGTGATGCGCAGTGCTTCATACAGAGGAGTGGGAAAGACAGCTAAGGATCCCTCCATGGAACATCAAATAGAAAAAGTTCTGCCTCCAAGAATCTAAGATTTACAAGTTAAGGAAAAACCTTGAAGGCAGAACAGCAACTTTCAGGTCTTTCCAAGACTTCAAACTTCAAGAAGTCATTCAGTAAATAAGTCTGTTTTTTTCAATTTAATTTGAAGCCCCAGCTATGACTATCGTAAGAGTTCCCACAGATGAAACAAAGTCTGTTTGGGAGGCTGAGAAAAAAAATCTAACAATTAAGACAGCTGAATCTTACTTAAAAGTCATAATTGCCTTTGTATTCCTGTGAAGCTTTGGAAGTCAGCTTTGGAATGGAAAATAATCAACATACTCTTAAAAAGATATGGAATATGATTGTGATTATAAGCAGAAATGGTGTGAAATTCATTTTCAACAACAACAACAACAAAAATACAGAAAATTTCCCAAATGCTGACTTTTCACCAATTTATGTTTTACTCATAGCTATTTCAGACAGTACCAATTTCCCCTTCAAAGTGGTTCATTAGAATAGATAGCTTAATATATTCCCTGTGGTTTTGAGTATCCATGACTTAGATCCTTCAATGGGCTGTAGCAAGCCATGGCACCACACCTGTCATCACCTCTGGATACAAACAGTTTCCACAGATGGGATTCAACAGTGAACTCGCTATTTATCCTTCCTGTTCTATTATTTGTTTTATAGTTCTTAGTGGGTTATATTATTTTAATACTTGTGATAAATTCAATGCTGATCTTTAGCAAAGCTGAACTTGAACCACAGCTGTAATGCACATACACAGATTTCTAAGTTACAAGCTCGGTTTTAACAAACTGCACAAAAATATTAAAACTGCATAAATATTATCTGCATGTTCATTTTCTCAGCATAAATGTAAGCTGAAAAGATGGCAATAAGTGTTACTTAATTTCACATATTAGATCTAAGCTAAAGAAACACTTCTGGATTAACAATAGTTAACTTACAAATTTTGGACAATCAGTGAGCCCACATGAGCTATGTTCAGCATTCCTTCTTGTCAGCAGTTAGCATTTGTGATGACATTAATATTCTTACATTGCGTGCTCTGGAATGCTTGGTCAAGAGCTTGTTGGTTTTTTTGGTTTTTTTTGTTTTTCCTTTTTTTCTTATTTAATTGAAGTCTAATCATATCTTCCATGAGAAAAGTTAAAAAAAGTTAATTGGACTGGGGTATTTATGTGCAGGTATAAATATTTTAAAAAGAAATGTTATTCTACACATAGAACATTCCAGGGATTGGCCCAGCATCAAAAACTTAATTCCAGGACTATTCTGAATTGTTGCTGTTTTTGAAAATGAAAAATAGATTACTTTTTAAAATTTGCTTTCATATAGAAGGGAGTGATAAGCCTGTGAACTCTGAACTCAGCTGATGCAAACGAGCAAATCCATGCACAAAATGTTATTAATGAATACTCAGATGATCCATCAAACTCAAAACACTTGCAGACTAGGTTTTTAAGGTCATCTAAATGCCAAAGGATACAGGTAGGCATTTTTTGAATCATTCCTCAACAACTAAGTGTCTAATTCCAGATGACTGAAAAATGTAAACTTCCTGTCAATCCTCTACATGCCTGTCTATATCTTTGGATTCTTAAGTGAAGTTAAAAGCTGGTGCATCATACGGAAACAAGGAATTTTCACAAGCTTGAGTGCCTATTGATGAGTAACACATTTGTGACAGGAAAAAGGTTGGCTGGTTGTGTTTGTTGTTTTAAAAAACACACTCTGCAATAATTTTCCATGGTTCAACTCAAACACTGGCCTGAACCATCTCCTCTCTTCCCTGTGAGAAAAGACCATCAAGATCTAGAAATGTTTGCTGGAGAGGTGGAGCCTCTGCTGACCCTGGGGTTTCTCAGTGGAAGAGGGCGGCTGGGCCTAGAGCTTCCATACAGCTTACCACTTGGCTGTGCAGTGCTGCTGCATGTATAAATGGTATATAGCATCATCAGATTTAGTAATGGGCATTTAACAATTGGGATAGTTCACAGAATGACCTTCCAATTTAATTGAAGTTGTAAAATGGCTTCACATTTCTGGAATTAACCTTTTTAGTCCGAGACAGGTGTTCCAGAAAGGGATTGGAGTATAATTGAATGGTCCCCCAATTTAGAAACTAAGCAGCTGTAAAAAGAAAAGTTCCAATTTTGAAATCTAATTAAAATGGTCAGTTGTATAGTTTCTTTAGCTGACTTTTAAATGGTACTAACACACTGCAACATTTTGAGTCATTTAAAGATCTACTCGGTGTAACATGATTAATATTTTCCAATGGAAAATTGGTTACTAAAATTTACATCAAAATAAACCACCTGACTTATTTTAAGGTATTATTATTATTTAAGGTTTAATTTTAAATTGCATTAATCTTGCAAACATAAGCTTGTGGTTTCCATGTTTCACTCCCTCACTAGCAACTGAAACGTTTCAAGTTAGAAGTATGCTCTGATTACATGTTGATCTACACTAAATATAGGGTACATAGGAAAAAATCTTAGCAAGTTTTTTTTCTTTTTTTTTTTTTTTTTTTTACAGGGCACCCAACCAAAATCTGTACAAAAGATAAGATAGTTACCCATTCTTTAATATAATAGATGCAGATGCCACTTTCTATAAATGTACCCTCATGTTCATTTGCCAATAAAATAGTAAACAAATCAGCTTTTTAAATCATTTTTTAATAAATTATTAGAGTATTTTTACTGACACTCTCCAACAATATACAAAAATAATACTACAAGAGTACCAATCAGTCTGACCTACCCCTCATTTCACAGAAAAGTAGAGGTTACGGAAGGGTATTCCTGCAATCAGTCATCACTGTAGATGTCTCCTGCAAATGGTAGGTGCACGTGGCTGCCCGTGACGTTGGGAAGTCGAGAGAGGTCAGGCAGGTTCTGGATGCGTGTTCTGAGTTCTTTCCGTACTTGGGACACTCTGGCTAGCTTGCGTTTGTATTCCTGTAATGTAAAAGAATTCATCAAGAGATTCATCTACAAATACAATCCCTTGTTTTTATTGCCTTTGCCAGTATCCAAATTAAAGCATTCCTTAAGCAAGTTAGATGACTCAATATCTCTAAATAGGAGAGAACACAGAAAACTGGATTACTTTGGAGGTGGAGTCATCAGCTCTGTCATCTGACTTCGGGAGGGTAACTATGGGATTTTTTTTCACTTTGAATATTGTAAATTCATAAACATTAAACAAGGAAAACAATCCTAATTAACCCAATTACACATCTTTCCATGCAACTAGAATGGGATTATTCTTAGAAACTCCATTAAGGATAGTTAAAACACATACATATTCTACTAATGCTCACAGAGTATGGGAGGATAAACTCACTGATGTCAAAGAAGTTACTTTCACTTTGTACTGATGAAAAAACCAAAGACACCAAATACCATCTGACCATGACAAGCCCCACCAATCCGACCATTCATAAATATTTGGTATTAACATTCATAATAAATATCATATTGTTTCATTGACTTTATGAATCTAGCCCTGAATTTTCAGAAACTTCATGAATTGGAGATTGAGGACTTCACACTGTATTGAAACACAGACCAAACCACTTGTAATTCATACACGATAGGCACTTGTTACATGAAACAACATTATTCAAGATAAAGTATCTAACACTGCAAAGCAGTGCACTTTAATATAGCTTGTGCTTACCTACACTAGACATTATGGAGAAGAACAGCAGCACGCATAAAATAAAAACAGTTATTCCAAAGTGTAAGAAGATCAGATTGCTGTTTATAGGATCATTTACACTTGAAAGACCTGGAAACATTTTTCACTGGAGACACTAAGCATTAGCAAGCAAAGCATGAAAATACACCGTATTTCATAACATATGAAATGTAGGTGCTTTCTAATCTGCTTGCAAATTTTGCTGCAGTTAGGGAATAGCTGGGAATAATAAGAAATAGTTAAACACAAATTTAAACATTTGTCTACACTGTTAATAGACTGAAATAAAAAGAAAGAATAGAAAAAGTCCTTTTGGTAGTGTAGAACCCCATATAGAAGTACAAATGTTACATAATAGAGCACAACCAAATTCCTGGACAAGCTCCAATACACATGAATAGAAAGTTTGCTGCTCTACGTGGCTGTGTGGCCCCTTCCCAAGGGCAGTAGTAGAACCGCAAAAAATCTTAAATTCTTAATGAGAATGTAATGCACTTCTTAAAATAAACAGAAAATAAAATTAAAACTCCACATAGAAAGAACAAAGGTTTAAAATTTAGTAATTACATACAGATCAGTCCTATGGGTTATTAAACACAATGAAAATAACAAAGATGCACAGCCTGCAGAACTTTAAACGTTTGGTGACTGTATACAAGGCAAAACAGTGTTCTTTCATGATGCAGATGATAAAAAAGAACCTTACAATTGCAAGTATATTTTTCCTAGGAAAACAATTACTTGTTCTCATTTATCCAAAACATCCTCACTGGTGTAAGTGATTTCACCAAGTGGCGGTGGATATAAAGGACTGTATCCTGACACTGTGCCCTCATACAGTCATACTCAAAGGCAATGAATACTTCACTGGGCTCAGCTGAGAAAGATATCCTGCAGTAGAGAGAAGATGAGTGAAACTCTGTGCAGAATCAAATAAGCTCAATAAGCTTAAAATTAGTAAAAAAAAAAAAACACAACAATAATAATAATAAAACATTAGCTATAAAATAATTCCTGTGAGTGCTGCCTGATTCCGCTGAATCTCGACTGAGTACACTCTTTCCACACAGAACTGGGAAGCAGCAAATTAGCACCCCTCTGTAAGTTCAAAGCATGATGCTTGGCAAATATGCACCAATCAAACTTAGCAGCTATATTCTCTCAGGATTTTACTACAAACCTGAAATGTGCCTTAAATTAGATTACTGGTTGCTCGACTCCATTAAACTTGCCTTTTGCCAATAATAAATTATTTCATAGTAACATCACATTTCTGACATCCAGCATTTTCCATGTAAATTTCACCTAAGACCTACTGCCTAGTGAATATCAGCTCCATCGATATTACTGATGGCAGATTCCTGTCATTAATTCAGTCCTCCTGTGTACTAACCCTTACGCACTTCCCTGGCTAACACCTTTAGCAATACACGCTTCCAGGGAGTCAAAATACACTCGTTGTGCCTTCCTAGAAATAGAGACCATTGAGAAACCTTGGTCAAAGACACAGCAATAATACAAGACCAGAATATATAAAAAAATAAATAGGGCTTTAGATTTCACTACATTACTAATGTACCAAAAAGCTATTAAGTACAACTTTAATACAATTCTGGTAATGCAAGCCATATGTCAGATCTGTGACTACAAATTACATTTATATGAGAATTTCTCCCTGGGGTAGAAATATTATTCACCTCCGCCAAGGCACATTTTTTCCTTGCCCTTCCAAAGCTATTCTAGAAATCACTGAAGATGACCAGTTTTCATGAGTGAAGAGCAGGTTCAAAAGAGGGATAATTTTAAAAGCATGACCTAGTAGTTTTGAATTATTTTTGAAGGGGCTGCTTTGCAGAGTTAAACTCTAGATAAAATCATTAATCAATTCAGAAAGAGTTTGCTTATATAATTTGAAGTTTGCTGATATAGTCCTGGACTGTGAGAAAGCATTAAGTACTCAACATAAGTACCAGTTGCAAATACAAGCCTTATGTTTGTATAATAATATTATGCATGTGTATATAAATCCATATTCCTAAATATATCTGCTGAGAGCTTGTCTTGGCAATTGAAGCAGAAGACGAGGAATGAGAATAAGTAGGGTTCTTTTGATACAACTGTTCCAATGAAAATGCTGAATGCTATACAACTGAGCAACAATTTACCCATACTCCTAGCTACAGAAATCCTCATGGAGAACTTCAGTTTCATTTTCATTATGTTGATTTCAACATATACTTCAAATTACCTCTATGTGAATGAGGCAAGATTCAAGCTATTTACTTCAAACAGTCAAGGACAAACAGAAGCAGAATGTTTTCTTCTGCTACAGTGCATATTTTCCATCACTGGCTGTCTATGGACAATTTTATTCTTAGGATATACGGACAACTTGGTGTATACAATTAAATTATCTTCAATTTCTTCAGTGGCCTAAGCTAAGCTTACTTTCAAGTAATAATCTGTGGTACTTCCAATCATAAAATAAATTAATGTGATAATGAGAACAACTTGTTTTGCTAATTGGAATTCCACAGATTCCTACAGTCTCCATTACTTGACAGCATTAAATACGGATATTTTGTGAATCTAATGCTAAGAATATACGGATCCAACATCTAGACTAACAGCATTTCTCTACTGAGAGAAAAAAAAAAAAAAAAAAAAAAAAAAAAAAGCAAGCAAGAAAGCCAAGTAATTTTAGATTAATTAGATACTACTAACATTTAACATTATGAAAAATAAAAACGTGGGAAGGCCAACTGAAATAGGTTGAAACAGACCTTAATCTAGAGTTTCTGCAATTACCTTACAGATGTGCTTCAGCTAAAGATGTGCTACTTGGAACGTAATGGCAATGTGTTCCCTTCTCAACATTAAAATGACCCTGATCTCCCATCTGATCACAACTGCTACTGTGTGCATCAAAATACCAATTTGTGTGGTAGCAAATACATTAAAAGGGAAAGAAAAGCAAACAAACTAAAAACCTCACCATGCCTGACTCCAAAGAAGGAATTAAAGATCCAAAGAAAACACAAATAGTTAATCTGCACTCTTACTGGTCATAGGAAAAAACAAACAAGTGAAAAAACACAACAGGTAAGGTGCAAATCAACACTCATAACACAAAGGGCAAAAAACAAACCTAAACAGGCTAAAAAGAGTTATCAAAAGTTTGGGGCATGAGAATACATATGCTTCTGTGGTGGTGGGTACATTGGTTAGAGACCACTGACCTTCAAGGCCGGTTCCAACCTCTCAAACTCAGGTGCAGACATAGGCCTTGTACCACAGAACAAAGGCTGTGTGCATTGCTAACAACCTGCAAAGGTTCAGACAAAGGCAAGTACATCCTGATATCTCAATGTTAGGGTTCAGACACACAGCAGTTACGTTTAAGTTAATGTCACACCTAGTTGGGGCTTTTTTGTGCAAGAAAGCACAACTAGACTTAGAGGCGCCAGGTAAGACTTGCTATCACTCCAGAAAATATAAGAGCACAGCTAAATTCTGTGCTGTCCTTAAAAACATGACATGACTCACATCACACACCAGTATGATTAAAAGCTCAGCTTATTTGTTAAGGATTTACAATATACTAAAATAACATAATTTAAAGCACTGAACAGAGTCTGAATAAATCTGTATCCACCATACGCAAGCTAACATTTAAAAAAATCACATAGGACTGTCTTGGATAATCTTCCATTACCATAACCACTGCCTGTTAGCTCAAAACAGATTTCTGGAAGTAAGCTTCCACTTGCCAGTTTGCCATCCACATCAGTTTGCCATCAGGCCTTACCACATTTGGTGCAAAATAAATAGCACTCAAAGAATGAGCAGCAGTTACTGCTTTAGTTATCTCATGGCATTCTATGTATTGTCTTAAGTACGATATCCAAATTCTGCTCTGTACAGATTTACTAATATTCTTATAGGTTTCCTAAAGGCATACTTCACCATTACAAAACACAATTTGTTCTTCAGGAAACGTATTTGAGCTGGTAATGCATCCTCTAATTTGCAGTATCTAGGGGTTTTTTAATAATTTAAATTGCCAAGAATTTAACACTTCAAAGCAAATTTTAAAAATTAACTTAAAATATTATAGACTCCTCGGCTTGTTTGCAAATGAAGCAACAAGAAACAATGAACTCAGAAGTCTGAAACACACAAGCTAATTCAGTGACCATCTCAGGGGCTGCATTAAGCAACTTTTGATGACAAATGAATACACTACAGATCTTCA